TGGGTTTTGGGTTTTTTTTTTTTTTTTTTTTTTTTTAACTGAAAAGTGGGGATTTTTTAAAATCAGAAATCCAGGATCCCTGTGAGTCAGATACTTTTATCAGTCTTGAGTTTTACCTCGCAAACAATTGGCGATTAAATATTACCCAGTACATTTATCTATATTGCCTCGAGTATTCATCTGTATTATGAACATGAATTCCTCTTTTATGAATATTTCATTATTCATATCTACTCCTTCTGATTCTCTACGAAGTGCCATAGACTTCTTCTGAATTCAAAATCTAACTATGTCTTGATTTTATTTCCTGAGTAAAATCCCAGTCTCTAACTCTAACTCCCAGTGAAACAAGTAGACACCCATTTGGTGCTAAAATCATTATATTCCAAGAGCTTTTCCAGTTGGAGCAGGACAGTTGTCTAGAATTGTTTTGTAGTAAATATGGATAAAAAGCTGACAGATGAGTTTGAAGATTAGAGTCATACAGTGTGTCAGCATGAGACACTTTACTGCAAAGTAGCATAGTTTACTGGGCAGTAAGCATGTGCATCTACATGTGCACATGCTTACTGCACAGTAATAACTGACGCGTGCCCTGGGAGGCTGGGGGGCATGGCAACCCTTTGGTGGTGGTGGCATGGCGGCAACGAGCTCCCGCAGGCAGCAGTGTGGGGAGGAGGGTGGCGAGTAGCGTCAGTGGCGGCCAGCGGCAATTGGTGATTGCCCATGGGGGGAAGCACAGTGGCGAATGGCAAGTGCCTGGGGCACTGCCAGCAGCATCGGCAGCGCTTCTTTCAGGGGGTGTACCGCCAATCTCAGGGGGTGCACATGCACCTGTGTGCACCCCCTATGTGCTGCCAATGTGCACAGTAAGCCTTGCTAATCATGAGTAAATCTGCTACCTGCAACTGCAAATTTACTTGCAATTACTAACTGTGCAGCAGCACTTTTGTAGATGCCTGACTGGGAGCAAATCTGCGCCTGGTCAGCTGGCCACCAGAAGGCAAGAAATTGCTGTCTGTCCCTGGGGGCTACCTGCTCCTGGGGCAGGCTCTTTTTCCAGAGCCCGGACCAGGACTATGTCCTTCTGCCCCGGCAGCAGGGAGCTCCAAGCCGTTAGGGGCGGTCAGGGGCGGTCACCATTAGGGGCTATAGCCTATACAGGCAGGAGAGAACAGGGACCAAAGGCGGGGGTGTGGCACTCTATGTCAAAGAGCAATACACATCCTCAGACAGCAGGATGGGGTCAGAGGAAGGGCAGGCTGAAGTGCTTTGGGTCAAGATACAGGGGGGTTGTGGGGAAAGGGACTTACCAATGGGGGTCTACTACAGACCTCCCAACCAAGGGGAAGAGCTGGACCACAAATTCTCGGGTCAGCTTGTGGAGGCACTTAAGGCAAGGGATGTAGTTGTCATGGGTGATCTAAATTACCCAGACATCTGCTGGGAGGAGCAGTCAGCCAGGTCTGACCGCTCACGGAGGTTCCTGGCTGAGATACAGGACCTCCACTTAAGCCAAGAGGTGCACAGTCCCACCAGGGGGAATGCTCTGCTGGACCTGGTCCTGGCCACAGGCAAAGACCTGGTAAGGGGACTCCAGGTCCTTGACCACCTGGGTGATAGTAATCATCACTTGCTGGAGTTCACCATCCAGTGCAGGGTGTCAAGGGCCTGCAGTAAGGTATAGCCTTAGACTTTAAGAGTGCCAACTTCAACGAGCTGAGAAGATTAGTGGAGGAGGCACTAGGGTCCTGGAGAGTAGGGGAACTGGGTGCCCAAGATGAGTGGTCGTTTCTTAAGGAGACAATACTCAGAGCCCACGGGATGACAATCCCAACAAGAAACAAAGGGGGCAAGAGTGCTCAAAAGCCCCCCTGGCTCCCCATGGGCATTCATGAATGCCTGAAAGCCAAAAAGAAGGTGTACACCCAGCAGAAGGAAAGGGCTATCACCAAAGAGGAGTATACCTCTACCGCTCGGGTCTGTAGGCGGGCTGTTAGGAAAGCTAAGGCAGATATGGAACTAGGGCAAAAATCAAGGATAACAAAAAGTCCTTTTTAAAATGCATAGGGAGAATGAAGAAGGCCCCGGGTAATGTGGGGCTCCTGCAGGATATGTTTGGCAATCTGGTGGTTCCACCAGAGGAGAAAGCAGACCTCTTTAACAATTTCTTCGCCTCTATTTCCTTGTGCAGGGACTGGGACTCCCCTACCGAGATTCATGATGGACTTGGGAGAAACTCCGCCAAGCCTAGGGTCAGGGAGGACCAGGTTAGAGAACTTCTGGAGGGGCCGGACATTTTCAAATCAGCAGGTCCAGATGCTCTCCACCCCAGGGTCTTGAGGGAATTGGCATGGGTTATCGCGGGGTCCCTGGCATGGCTTTACAAGCACTTGTGGTGCTCTGGCCAGGTGCCAGATGACTGGAAGACGGCCAGTGTGGTCCCCATCTTCAAAAAAGGGAGGAGGGAGAACCCAGGCAACTATAGGCCCATTAGTCTTACTTCAATCCTGGGGAAGCTCTTTGAGAAGATTATCAAGGAGCAGATCTGTGATAGGCCAGCAGCGGGGGTGATGCTCAAGGGCAACCAGCACGGCTTCATTAGGGGCAGGTCCTGTCAGAACAACCTGATTGCCTTTTATGATCAGGTCACAAAATCACTGGACGCAGGTGTTGCGGTGGACATAGTCTTTCTGGACTTCAGGAAGGCCTTTGACACCGTCTCCCACCCCATTCTCAATAAAAAGCTAGGTGACTGCAGCATTGATGCCTACACAGTCAGATGGATTGCAAATTGGCTGTGGGGTCGTACCCAGAAAGTGGCGGTGGACAGGTCATTTTTGACCTGGAGGAAAGTGGGCAGTGGAGTCCCCTGGGACTTGGTCCTCGGGCCTGCACTGTTCAATTTCTTTATTAGCAACTTGAATGACAGGGTGAAGAGCAGCCTGTTTAAATTCACAGATGACACCAAGATTTGGGGTGAGGTGGGCACGCTAGAAGGGAAGGACAAATTACAGCAGGACCTGGACAGGTTACAGGGGTGGGCAAATGAAAATAGGATGGGATTCAATACTGACAAGTGCAGGGTGCTGCACTTGGGCAGTAGGAACCAGCAGCACACCTACAGGCTGGGGAACTCCCTTCTCAAAAGCACAGCAGCAGAAAGAGATCTTGGAGTCATTATTGACTCCAAGATGAACATGCACCGACAATGCGAGAACACAGTCAGTAGGGCTAACTGTACCTTGTCCTGCATCCACAGATGCATCACAAGCAGGGCCAAGAAGGTGATCCTCCCCCTCTATGCGACACTGGTCAGGCCGCAGCT